CGGATCCGTTTGTTCATCATTCGCGGTCGGATCGGATACGGAGTTCGCGAACGGACAGAATACGGAGAAACCCGCAATAATGCGCTGTATTTTGGGGGAAATGGTTCGCGTACGGTCCGCATACGATTCCTATTTCAATCGCGCGCGAACGCCGAGAGTCCGTAACGGGTCCGTTCGCAGTTTACCTGTGTTTCCATTGAAAAATTACGGAATTTTTTGATTTCAAAACACATTTTGAAGAGGGGTCATTTTTCACAGAGGGCCTTTCTATTACGAGGGCCCTTCGATTATTGGTAAGCCTGCTTTTTAACCGTAAGCTTTGTTTTTAGTATATCCCGATTTAAGTTGCTATTTTTTTTGTATTTAATACTGATTCGACTACTTTCTCTCTATCCTTTGAGGGGAATAAATTCACTATAATTCGCATCATGCGAATACTGTGGATCCACGTTTCTCATTTTATCATTGGCTCTTATTTCTTTGAAATGTCACCGAAAAAAACTATGTGAAACAATTTCCTAAAAAAGCTCAGCGTGAAAAGTGCCCCCTGTTGTGTAGATACGATTACTGCCATAATCCAAGGGTACATTGAGTTCTTAGAATACGCTCAGAGGGTATATGAGATCTTGGGGGTGTAGCGCGTTTCAGCCTAAGCCTATAATTTTGAGCAAAAATCGAATAATCAGATGTACCTTTAAACCTAATGTACCTTTGGAACTGGGCCTTTTCACAGTGTACCAAAAAGCGAAAAGATATTTTACACCCATCGTTTTTCTGTTTCAGGTTCAAGATCTCCGGGCAAGATTCGAAAGTAAGTCACCGGCTCCGAAATCACCGCCTAAGGAAGAGGGAGAAGGAAGTTCTTCGGATCCAAAGCAGTTCTTCTAACCGCAGCGTAATTCCACTCGACACCCCTATTCTTTTGAACTATTTTTTATGATTTTTTATACTGTGCCACGACTGCTTATCTCAAATTCCTACCAAACTAACTGAAAAAATAAATAAAGATTTGATTATTTCGCACAATTCAAGAAGTGTTTATCAAAAACGTTGAAAAGCAATCAATGGAGCAGAAGTTTCAAAAAGGAAAGAACCATGGAATTGGTGTGCTCACTAGTGGCGGTGACTCACAAGGTAATAAAAAAATGATCTAGAAAAAAGAGTCTCACCCATTCGCCTTCTAGGAATGAATGCGGCGGTGAGAGCAGTTATCCGTGAGACTCTTCGCCAAGGGCATCGTTGTTATCTGATACGTGAAGGATACACTGGACTGATAACTGGTAACATTGATCAAGCCACCTGGGAACACGTGGCAAATGTGACCCATCTTGGAGGAAGTATGATCGGAACGTCCCGTTGTGATGAGTTCCGCACAACAGACGGTCGGAAAAAGGCAGCGAAGATCATGTTCGATAGAAGAATTTTTCATTTGATCGTGATTGGTGGAGATGGATCATTGATGGGTGCTCAAAAGTTGAAAGAAGAATGGGGAAGGTTTGGGGAGGAGTTGTTCGCAGAGGGAAAGATAACAGAAGAAGTTGCAAATGAAGGAAGAGAACTTCATCTCGCCGGCATCGTTGGTTCTATTGACAACGACTGCATAGAATCAGACAAGTCGATCGGATCAGATACAGCACTACATCGTATTTGTGAAGCTATTGATGGACTTGTGATGACTGCCCAATCTCATCAAAGAGTTTTTGTTGTTGAAGTTATGGGAAGACATTGCGGGTATCTGGCCTTGACAGCTGCGATTGCTGTAGAGGCTGACTACGTCTTCTATCCGGAAATCCCTCCAGATGATAAATGGCCAGAACAGCTTTGTCATCAATTGGAATCTGTCAGAAAGGTATATGACTTCGCAGGTTTCAAAAAAGAACTGTATTATTTCAGTATGGAAAACGACAAAATGTGATCATCCTTGGTGAGGGTGTCACTAATAGTAAGGGAATGAAGATCGGAGGAAAGCAAGTGAAAGAAGAAATTGAGACACGACTTGGACTGGAAGTTCGTATTGCCACACTCGGACATCTTCAGAGAGGAGGAGCACCAACTTTTTTGGATCGACTACTGGGATTGAGAATGGGTCATGAAGCAGTTTTGTGTGTTGATAAATTGTATTAATTTTCACTAAATTTTCATTCAGGGAAGTTTTGAAAACAACAGAAGACGTGGGTTCTCCGATTGCTGGCCAGAAAACGGTTGCTCAGGTGATGTGTCTTCGAGGACATAACATTGAAAGAAACGAACTATCTCGAGTTATCCGACAAACTGAAACTGCCAATGAAGAGATGCAGCAGAGAAATTATGATTTGGCTTGTCGACTTCGTGGATTTGGATTCCTGGACAAGCGAACCTATTTGAATGTAAACTTGAATATTTCTTGCATTGAAAAATTCAAAATTTCAGTTCGTATCCGTTCCCCTCTCCTTTACTATCCCTGAAGACATGAAGACGTTTGCAGTGATTCACATAGGATCTCCGTGTGCTGGAATGAATGCTGCCACATTTTCATTCACAAGAATGGCCAACCACAGTGGAATCAAAGTTCTTGGAATCAAAAACGGATGGGACGGTCTTAAAAATGGAGATGTCAAACTTCTAACATGGGAAAATGTCCAAGGATGGGCCCAGGCTGGTGGTAGTATGTTGGGAGCAAAACGACAGTTACCATCTGAATTGGATAAGATTGCTGAAGGACTCAACACCCATAAAGTTGATGGTCTCGTTATCATTGGTGGATTTATGGCATTCCAGTCAGCACTGGTTTTTCAGAAGAATAGAAGTGACTATTCTTGTCTCAGTATCCCGATTGTTGTTATCCCAGCCACCATTTCCAATAATTGTCCAGGGGTACTAATACCAATTTCTGATCTTATTCACTGAACTTTTCTTTTCAGACATGCATGTCTCTTGGAGTTGATACAGCTCTCAATGAGATTTGTCGTCAAGTAGACAACATCAGTCAGAATGCGATGGGAAGTAAGAATAAGTAAGTCGTAAATTGGGCGTCAGGGCAGAAAACTTTTATTTTCAGAGTCATGATTATCGAAACAATGGGTTCTCGATCCGGTTTCCTTGCCACAATGACTGCTCTCTCAACTGGATCTCAATTTGCGTTAATTCGTCAAGTCGAAACTAAAGAGGATGATCTTTACAAGTTGGCAGTGGAAACAAAGCAACGACTTGATTCTGGAAACCTCGATAAATTCCTGTTGATTCGTTCGGAAGGTGCCAGTGAGAAAATTTCTGCAATAACAGTGAAAATGGTGTTTGACCAAGTAATGAAGAATAAATACGGTGTTCGAATCACGAATCTGGGATACAGTCAACTCGGCGGACATCCATCATGTTTCGATCGACAAATGGGCATTCGAATGGGAGTTCGAGCATTCGAAGGAATCGTCAAACCGGATAAAATGGGAAAACGAGATTGTTGTGTTATTGGGTTGAGAGGGAGCAGTTTGAGATATGTTCCAGTTCAAGGCCTGGAAAATAAAGTGTGCTTTGAACACGGAATTCCATTGCACATGTGGTGGCTGAAATTGCATCCACTCGTCGAAGCGATGACTAGTAAGTTTCAAAAAGTTATCAATACAAAGTTTGACGAACTGACAACTTGTGAGAGGGATGGGAATCTAAAGATGACGGAAGGAAAAATGATACTGCTTTTTTTTGTGTTTTTTCGGTTCAGGCGTCAACAGAAACAGTTGCCGTTTTTGCAAAAAAAAATGCTTAGATCTTGTCATTCTGGTATGAAAATTGCGGCTGTGGAATAAAAAAGCTTGTGGGTGTGGCATATATCGAAAACTATCGTAACGTAAAAATTTTGGTCCTCTTTTCTCGATTACTATTGCTTTTTGACAATTTTTGTACTGAACACCTAAATATAGAAAATTGCCGGAAAACGGACGAAAATCAAGAAAAAAAGATAAATTTAACAAGTTTGGCTAATTACCGGTTTGGTCTTGGCTACGGCACCTAGTTTTCTCTTCCACAGTTCCGATTTTTGTACCAGAATAATATTTAATAGACATATTTTTTATATTCTATTCTTTTTTATTTCCACACCTTCCTATACTAATAGAAATCTTCCCTGCAAACCAAACAGATACACGTATCCCTTTGCTTCTTTCCGCAACAAGCTGTTCACATACCTTTCGGCGTTCTGCAAAATTTTTAAAAGAAAAAATGGCTTTTTGACTCCTGACTTGATTTTCGATCCTCGGAATTATTTTCACTTCAAAATTTTTACTAAAATTCAAAAAAAAAATTTCAGAAAAACCGGAACGAATTTCAACTTGATTGTGTTTGCCCGTCCACAACAACGTCGTCACACAAAAGAACTACTCTCTTATTTTTCTTTTTTTCTTTTTTTTCTCATCCCAAATGGGTCCACAATCTAACGAATAAAGTGATTCACACTCGTTCCTTAAATTCAGGCGTTTTTACTTGTTTTTTTTTTGTCTGATCTGTGTTCACTCTTGCCCTCCAATCCAATTGAAATTTGAAAGAACCTGTTTTCATTTTTGGCTACTCCACTACTATTTGTTAGTGCTATATAATATTTTCAGTGTGTGTTGCCTTTTCAGAAGAATAGGAAAGAATGGATTGGTGTATGTGGCTGCTGATGTTTATGACGGAATGGTCTTCGATTGAGAGCGATAAAATCGGTGGAGGTGCCACAATGTGCGGGGGAAGAAAAGAGTAGAGAGGCGCTTTTGCTGATACATTTGCACGATATAATACATATTTATATCACCCCATTTATCACTTCTCTTTTTTCTGCTTTTTCTTTTCTCATTTTCATTCGCCCCATCACCACTTTCGATTCGTTTCTCTTTCCGTATTTGCCAATCGTTTTTGCTGTGTGGCAAAAAGTGTTCATTTACACAGGATGTACAATAATCGAAGAATCGTCGTGTTGGCACTGATGATAGCTGTCTCGGCTGCAATTGAGATTCAAGATGCCGGATCGTTTCCAGTTGGAACCGATTATCATAAGGAGAAACTAGCTCAGGGACAGGATCCAGCCAATTACAAGAAGACGTACCATAAAGAGTGAGTGTAACTTTTGCTTAGGCGTTTAGGCGTAGGCTTAGGCTTAAATTCGTTATATTTTCCAACAATATATTTTTCCAGAATTCCCGGAGGATCTGAACATGCTGAAGTCGTCGCTTCCAATGGTCCAGGATCCAACTCATTTAGCCAAACATACAGCAAGTTAGTCCATTGCAAACCATCTCATGTTTACTGTATTCCCTTTCAGACACCAATCATTTGGATCATCCGACACTTCCCAATCACGAGTGAGTTGCTTTTTTATTTCGATGACATCACTTTTAACCCTAAAAAGTGCACCTTGTGTTGTGTTCTGAGTTAATTCAGTTTTAGAGCTTCTCATCGATTAACAACCCTTCTGCAATTTCATCTGAAACTGCCAAGAAGATGGATGAGGTAACTTTTGAATGTGTGATATACCCGACTGATTGCTAATCATTGAATTTTTGGACTAGAGCGAAGGCGGACTCGATGGCGGAATCGATTCGGAAGAATATTGCGAAAGCTCAAAAGGTTTTGTTTTTTTTTTGTTTGGAAATGTGATAAGTTATCACTGATAACCCAGAGATTAATACAATAGAGCATCATTAATTCGAGCTAACAATAACATTTACGATACACAATTTTAACTACAGTACCGGCCAATGAGAAAACAAAAACGTATTTTTCACTTGATTTTAGGCCAATCTTGCCGTTTTTTAACGGTTTTCAGGAGTCTAGAGCTCGGCTGTCAAGTTTCCGATCACTTCGAAAACTTTGGAGGGTGTAAAACAGACCTAGATTAAAAACTTTGCATTCACAAAATTTTTTGAAGACACCTAGTTTCCCAGCTATTTGTCGATTTCTGAAAGACATCCCCCTTTAGCGCGTTTATGTACTGAAATCTTGAGAAAGTATGTTTCAAAAATCAGCAAATAGCTGAAAAACTAGGGATTTCCAAAAAATCTGTGAATTCAAAATGTTCAATCTAGGCATGTTTTCCACCCTCCAAAATTTTCAAAGTGATCGGAAACTTGACAGCCGAGCTCTAGACTCTTGAAAATGTTCAAAATGAATGAAAACCAATTGAAAAATAAGTTGCTGCATATCTTATCAATTGGTACTGTATTCATTCCAGATAACGATATCATTTCCAGAATATCTGTCTAACTAATAACTCTCTAATCAATATTTTACAGGATGCTATGGATCGTCATAACGCCCTCATGAGCCGTATGCAGCAGAACATGGCAGGAATGAGAATGGGAATGGGCATGGGTTCTCCATTTGGTAACTTCTCCCCCAGAAATTAGCATATCAGACGTTTCTAATTTACAGGATCATCAGAGCCAAAGGTAGATGACTCCAAACACTAACACACTACTCCAATCACATCGCACTTTGTATAGTTTGTGCTGTCTCTCGTCGTTTGCCTTCCTCAAAAAAAAAAAGAGTTCACCCAAATCCTAATAAACGTGTTTTTTGTTTTTATGTTGTTAAGTGTTACTATGTTATTAAGCATGCAATACTTCACAGATGTACTCGGATGGTTCCGACGATTGGATGCAGAATCACATTCAAATGATGAATGAGATGATGAGAATGCAGAATGAACAAATACAGGTCACTTCTTTTTTCACACTTTTGAAATAATTTCAGATGTTCCCATTCTACAAATCAAGAATAAGAATTTATAAGCCAAGGAAAACGAAAAGGAAAGTTGACTTTCTCTCTTGAGACTTATTAAAAATCAAAACCACTTTAATCGTTAACTTTTTAGACTTTCAGGCCCTCCAACAGCTTATCGCTTCGTCGTCGTACCCCCGTAGGAGCTCACACCATTCTGCAATCCAGCCAACCCAGGTCCACTACCAGGTCCCCAAAACGGTGGACGGCGAAGCAAGTGTCTCCAAAGGTAGATTTTTGAACACTTCAATTTGTGTTCCTTGTTTTTCTTCTTGTCTTTTTTAGTTCGCTCTTCATTGTCTTCCAGATTCCCGGAAGCACCACACCGACGAATGAAAAAAGGAAGACGACTTTTTTGTCTGGATGAAAGGAACGACTCTTCTTTAGTCTGCTTACTTTGTTTGTATCTTTTTCATCCATTTTGCTATTCCTCTTTTTCGTCTTCTTAACATAAACATTTTCTTTGGGATTATCCCCCATCCAATTCTTTTTAACACACACATTTTATTCCGAACACAAAATACAATTTTTGCTTGATATTAGCTTACTATGAGTGTACACATATTCCCATCGCCACCTCATCACTTCTGACTATAACTTTCAGACATACATGTGACACAATTGAGACACAACTCGCTCGCGAGCTTCTCCTTTTTCCATTAATCACATTTTCTCTAAATTCACATGATACAAATACAGAAGAACGAATGTGACAGGAAACCATTCTCAATATTAGAATTGTATGAAGAAAATATAAGATTTGTATCGGTTATATACCATTTAATTTCCCTAGGTGGAGTGGCGCTTGCAAAAAAAGCCGATATCTGAAAATAGAATTAGTGTCGTATGAATTCGTGTTTTGATTTATTTTTTTCTCGGAAGCCAAAAAATTCCATAGTGTGATACATGCTGTGAAATTTCGACCTTAACAGATGATATGAAGTTCATGAAGGATATTATCTAATTTTATATTTCTATGCTCTAATTTAAATGCATGTTTCGGCTGATAATGGAGGGCGGGCGGAGCTTGGGTCCGATAGCAAAATCCTCGAAGCCGCATTTATAGAAGCGGGTTTTTTTTCGCAACTATCCTCTGGCCTTTTTTTTCGATTTTTGACGATTTTGACCGATTTTGAACTAATTTTTTATAGAAAAAAACGCGCCTTTAAGGATTTCGTTACCGGGCCTAACTATAAGCTCCGACCACCCTCGAATTTTGGACCGCAACGCTCATTGAAATTAAACCTATAGACCAGAGTAATAACAACAGTAAGACCAATCGAATTTAAAGTTCCTTGGTCCTTCCGTAATTTTCTCAATTCTTCAGATCTTACAAAGTCCAAACTTTTCTAAAACTCTGCAGAGTTATATATTATCTCATTCAATCCCAGTCTATACCTGACCTCATTAGACCAATAAACTTGTTTTGTGATCCTTATTAAATCATCTATCTTCCAGCAAAGGTTCTATTTCTGGGTAATCTCCTGAAATCTTTAGTCTTCCAACAAAAGTTTATCCCTCATCAAACACTTCTGACGTTTTTATTGGTCATGACGGAAACTCTCCATTTCCTATATGATGAGGCGGAGTACATGAATTATTTATATCCTTTTGGATACTATTTTAAGAGCATTTTACAGCCACCAAATTGAGTGAGCACTCAATTATATTCTCATCAGATTTCTGTTTGTCTTATGTCTTTGAATTGAGTTATACATTCCATTATTATGACTCCATACACGTCATACAGAGCCTCAAAGATCCATCCCCATAAATAATCCCACTGAAATAACCTAGAATATGTCAAAACTGACGCCAAATCGAATCTGACAAGAAGTGCTCTCACTTCACTCTCTCTTCCTCCTTTTTTCTTGTTTTTGCTAGATATAGAGATAATCTATTTGTTGTGAAGAACACCATCAGTAGAAGAAGACTCTAAATCTCCCACTGATATGTGCGTCAGTGTCTTCCCTATCTCTCTATTTCTCTTCAATTTCTCATCCTTTTAATCTGTTTCGAGAAACAATTTGACTCTGCCTGCCGAATGGCGTAATTTGTTTTAAGCGCATCTCTATATCGTCTCTTCATGCCCTTCTTCCGATCTAACGTACGTCAAAAAGCAAGGAAATTTGAGAAGCTTGGATGAGGTGTCTTCTTCTAATTAGTTCCTCCCTCTCCGATTACTAATTAGGTTCCGATTTCCTTTTTTGCTCTTATTTTTTGTTTCCTTTTACACTCCTCCTTCCTTTTCTTATTCTGGAATCATTTTCCTCTGAAATCATCAAAAATCACCATAGCTTCCTTTTTTCCTTTTTTCCGAATTTCAAGATTATGATCTACAGTTTTGGGAAGGATTTCAAGTTTTTCTGATATTCGTTCTTATAACTCCGCGATGTTTCACTTGGAATGAATCGTGAATTCAGCACGTACTTCCAAAAAGAATGTAGGCGGACTTCCGAGTTTTGAATATGACTATGCTGGTAGATTAAGTGATTTTAGATCTTGACTCGTATGATTAAAACAAGAGTATATCATAAGTAGATCTTACATTTTCATAGAACGACTACTGTAGAATTCGGAAAACTTGAAAAAAATACCGAAAAGCCTGTAACAGAAGGAACCCCTTTAAGTCAAGTTATGTCGGTTCTTGCTAAATATATCCAGATTTTGTCAACCGATAAATTGTTTATCATAATATCACAGGTATTTATCAGTTGACAAACTTTTGACATCTCATATAGGAGACGAATCGATTGAGCTCAAAGCTAACAGTGTGGGGCCCTTCTATTACAGGTTTCACGGTAATTTTTTAAGGTCTAGGATTCATACGAATACTCTCGAAAAACCATTTATATATATTTTTTTCTTGAATATAGGTCCTGCTATTTACGACTTTTGATTCTTGGAAATGTTCTGATCATATATGGAAAATTAATCGAAAATCAGAGAACATTAGTTTTAGTTATTTTTTTTCTGAACGAATTTCCCAACACCACATTTTTTTTCAACCTGACCAATGTCTTGATATTTCTCAACAAGCAAAAAAAATGCTTGAATAGAACAAATTGAGCTGAAATGTGTGCCAGACGTTTCCAGTTCCACCCAAACTCTTTGGTTTGAATGTTTCTATTTTCAGAATATTTCGTTGTTTATTCCGGAAGTGGTTCCGGAGTCTCCATTTCATTCCGTTCAAAAGTCAGAAGAGTCATTTGCCATAACAAGATTATAGATTTTGCAATCCAAAAAAAAAAAAGAAAAAACGAACAAAAAACTTGATTCAAAAGAGTCTTGCAAATTAGAGAAATTTGTATTTTTGGTCTTCATTATTCTTTTCATATTCTTTTCATATTCATCTGAAAATTAACATCAGACCTCAGTCTATAACATCCACCCACTTTTTTCCCTTACGCCCTTTTGAGCCCTCCCTTCTTCTAATATATCTTCGCGTCTCTTCTTCGAATAATTTCAGTTTATAGACTACTAAACTTATTCCAGATCCCCAGATAAGCTATTCACAGAATAAGAAACCGGGGCGGTGTTTTTATTTAAATAAATCGGTATCAGTCTATTCCAACCAACGATACAAAATGCTCGTCGTTGCTAAAAGGTAAGTTAAACCTGTAATAGGAGAACCCCCTTTTAACTTTGAGCCGATTTATCTCAATTCCTGTCGAAGCTATAAAAAAGTTGTCAACTGATAACTTGCTTATCATAATACCAAAATTATTTTGTCAGTTTACAAATCTTGGATATCTCTTACAGGAGCCGAGATAATTGAGCGCAAACAGTGTGGGGGCCCTAATACAAATTTTGCGATACTTAGCAAACGTTTATTTACAATTTTCAGAATCTCGAATTTTCTTCAATTCCGTCCGATTCTGATCCTATTCTTCTGGAGTCTAGCTAGTTTTACATTTTTCCTGATGTCCCTCACTTTCGAGTTGATGCAAATCCAAATTGTTGTAAGTTCAATTTTCTAGATTTTGAATCAAAATTTTTGATCTTCAAATTTTCGTATTTTTTGTAAAGGAAGCCAGATGTTCCATTCCCTAGAATCACATTATTTCATTCTGATCTTATTGAACCAAATAATAATTTTTAGACAAATAACAATGAAACCACGGAAAAGGCTATTGTGGAACAGAAACCTTCCGGAAATTATCAGAGTAAGGAAACAAAGTTAAAATTGATAATGATAACATAATCTGAATTCTTTCAGATCCTCAAATTCTTATCCCATTTCTTCTGATACCACTTACATGTCTAACAGTGTTCTCCAGAAGTATTCCAGTCATCATTTCAACAGCAATCTCAACTTTCCTCTCGATTTGCATTTTATCCTTTTTGTCTAGATTGAATCACTATTTCGATCCGGATCCTGCATATATTGTAGTGATCCTTCATGTCACTACAGCCAATTCTATTTTTTTGAGAAGATGTTGGGATAAGTACCGGTAAATTCTGATCCATTTTCAGATATAAAATAATTCATTTTTCAGAAGAGGTCCCTGTTCTTCTACCATTGTCCGCCTCCTACTGGCCACTGTCGACAAATCACTTCCGATGCTTCTGACGACAACTACGTGTGCAACTATAATTCCCTTAGTTTCCATCATAGTCTCTCCTGCTAAAACCATAATTCCCTCCGTCACAATTTGTCTTTTGAACGTTCTTCAAAACGTTTGCACGATGACAGTCATTTTAGCAGTTCTTCTCATCCGAAATACGTACAACTGGGTAAGCCCTCATCCTCTCAGAAAAAAATTTAACTTGAACGCAAATCTCGTAATCTTAGATTAGAGCTCTCTACATAGTTTTTAGCAAAAAATAGCTTCCAAAGAAACCCTTACACCCCCTCACAAAATCCTGTTTGTTTCCAGTGTATTCCAACGGTCCGGCTAAGCTTTCTACGCGGGATTCAAGCGTTTTTCGAGGAGAAACTTGTTTATTTGGCTCATCTGATGTGCCAAATTGGACAGAGAATGTTATCCTCCCACGCCAAGATTCCATTCGTTTTCACCTATCTTATTGTCATCATTGGATTCGTGTGAGTTTGATGATTTATGTAGAGAATGTTACAAACATGGCGTGAGAAAACCTGACTAGTATATTTCGTTTGATCTAAAAACTTTGATCACTAGGAGAGAATCCTAATTGGTTTTTTTTGCAGAACTATGAACATAATCCGATTTCTGAACTTTATGAATGCCTCAATTGACAAAGGAACAGTTGAATGCTCGTTTTTCCGTTGTTACGAATCAGTCACTCTTACTCTTTCCCTCTTCATTGTACCGCCCGTTTTCTTCTGTACTGTAAACAAAATCCAAGTGAACACAATGATTGCGTTGATTGGTTTCTCATTCACTTTGGTTGTTTTTGAACTTCTCAGAGTGAGTCAATTACCGTAAAACTTGTAATAGCAGGGCCCCCACACTGCCAAGTTAGAGTTTAGTTATCTCGATTCTTGTGAAAGAAATCAAAACTTTGTCAACTGATAAAATATTTATGATAATATCACCAATATTTTATCAGTTGACAAGTTCTTGATATCTTTTACAGGAATCGACATAATTGAGCTCATAGTTGTCGGTTTGGGTGGGCTCCTACTAGAAAATTTCCAGTTATATTCTGGAATCTCTAGAATTATATTTTCTTTCCAGGAATTTGCATTCGAAAGCGTCCGAGTCGAGCCCATTCAACACGTTGTCTTCAGTATCATTCCTGCTGATGGAGCCCTCCGCTTTTGCAACATGTACAGTATGTCACGAAAGAAGAATCATAATGCAAAAGTTCTGGATACGGTGGACACGCTCTTCTCTCAAATCACAATCTCTTCTATCTGCTCCTGCTCTGCTCTTCTTTATATCTTTTATCACTTTTCAACAACTCCAATTTGATTATTTTGGTGATAATTCTACTTGTCACCAATTGGATTACTGTAATTTTCTTCTATCCATCAGCAATCGCAATGATTGGGCCAATGGTATGCGGAGGAAAGCGACGAGGAAGTCAATTTTCAGAAACAAGATCTATGAATACGGATCGATTCTCTTCGCATCTTTTAGTAGACAATCCGGATTACACGAAGAAATACTCAACTAGCAATTACTATGGTGCAGCAAAACAGAAACGGTCTTATAACGTTTTGATAACAGACTCCAGAAGAGCATCGATGCCAGTATGCGTTCAACAAATTGCCATTTCTAACTCTACAGCTCCAATTCTAAAAAAGTGAGTTTCCAAATCCAGGAAATGGTGACTAATGAAAATGTTCAGAAGATCCTGGGCAAACGGAGCATGTTTTTCTGTAGATGGAGTGATTACAATGACACCTCGAGAAGCTTTGAAACTGATGAGAAAAGAAGATTCAATTACTAGTGATAACATTTTGATTAAAGAAATTGCTTTGATGTAGTTATTTTGTAATAAAATAAATAATTTATTTTTGAAATTATGTCAATGTAATCGTGGCTCCAACTTTCGTTGTGCTCTTTGGTCCGATACTCATTGCTCTTGCTGATTGAGGGCTCGCTAATCCGAACAACCGACGAATTGCATGTCGGTATTCCGTACTGAAATCAAACTTAAGAGAATGAAAAAAGAGAGTCAATTACTTTATCGCATAAAACACAAAGAAATTGCTTGCACATGCCATATTTACACCGATTCCAGCGTAAATAGCAATGAGCTTTCGGGTTGTAGCATCTTTGGCGACAAATATGGCGAATTGATTAGCAATTGTAACACTACTCCATCCGATTATAACAAGAACAACTGTCCAAAGAATAGAACGAAAAACCACTTTCATTTGGGTGGCTCCTGCATAGCTTCGAAGTTGCAGAAATGTAAAAAAATAGACGATAACTATTGCAACGTTAACAAAGATTCCACTGGTGTTGAATTGGGAAAATGTGGATCCAGCGAAAGCAAGAGGGACGGTACAGTAAATTTTTCTGAAAATGGAAGATTGGTACTTGAATTTGGAAGGATTAGAGTACGATATGGGATCTCTTTGAATGAAACCGGAAACCATGAGAAAAGACGTGTACGTTGCTGGGAGCACCAGTTGGGCGCATATGTAGAGAGCTGGACGTTCTAGTAGCGCACGATATCTGGAAATTGTCTTTTGGGTTTTGCTTTCTTGTTCCTAAAATCTGCTATTTTTGACTCTCTAATTTCCAAAACTGCCACTTACACAACGGGTGACTTGCAAGCAATAAACCTGTCTATACCAGTCATAAGTCTCAACGGATTGGCCATACACTTCCCGATACTCGTGAAAAATAACATCCAATAGCAATTAGCTTGTGTATCCGTTACTGAAAATATTCTGAGAATAAGAGCGAATCAAATTTCCGAAGGGAGTTGTACCGTCTGCAAAGATGTGGTAATTAAAAACAAAGTGTCCGCAGAGATGTAGCATGTCAGCTAAGCAGCCAAATGTGATCATGTAATGACATGGGGAATGGAAGTTTCTGAAAAATAATTGATATCAGGGATATGCACTTTGAAGCTTTCTACCGTTCTTTTATGAACAAGATTATCATTATTGAGTTTCCGATACAGCTGACAATAGCGCAGCATAAATAAAAAATAACAACTGGTACGAGAGGGATATTAGCTTCGGCAACCATCTTTCTCAGAAATAAAAGTTTTGGAGTCTTCAAAAACCAGGTGGGTGTATGCACCTCAAAAATCTCTATCCCGGAATAGTAAGATCAAGAATCTTGTTTGGTTTTCCCAGGGATGTGGGAGGGAATGAGCTAAACATGCCTTTGCACCATGTTGAGAACCTCATGATTCAAAAATTGAACTTCTTGGACTCAACCTGAAAGTACAACTGACATATTCCATCACAAAAACTATTAGGAAAAAATGAACTTCATTTTGTTCACAATCAAATAAAAGTGTAATAAGTTGACAGGTTAAGCATATGAAACGGAGAAAAATTGCAGGAATGTGTAAAAAGAAAATTGAAAACAAGGGAAGGAAAGAGAGACTGGGGTGGAAATGATTGGAAGCGATTTGACTGAAAATGGACAGTGTTAGCGAGGGCAAAAAGAAGAAAAAACTAGAAGGTTTAGATCGAGGCACAATAAACGGCGACGGAATCTCATGGCAATGTAGATCGGAACGATGGTTGTGGAGAAGGAAAATTTTCGAATAAAGGATACTTGAGAGCTGAGAACAAGGGAAAGAAAATACACTATAATAATAAGAAGCATATGAAACGTCTACAAAAGATACCTGAACATCATCTTTCAAACAAAAAGAATGGTTCAGGTGAATTATCCCGTATTTCGGCACGCGGATGATATCGTTTTAGAATATTATCAGTGCTGCTCAAATAGAATCAAACATGAATTATATTTTCGAAAAGGTTAAACTTTAACAACGGCGGTTGGAGTCTTGTTGACTACGGTGGTTGGAGCCTCCATATCCGCTTCTAACTTTAACATTTTCTCGTTGATTGTATTTTTTGACACTGGAGTTACGAGTCGGGTATCATGGTCTGGTCCCATTTCATAACTGAATGTTCTGTATCCTTCGAGCGCTTCCGAGCAGTCCAGGAATCTGAAATTTTATGTGATAAGAAGGATTTATAGCAACACGAAATTAAAGCTCAACGAAATCGAAAATCCTGATAACCTAGAAACATTTTGCAACTAATTTTACGTCACCGTACCTGATGTTATGTTTAGGTGGGATATAAAAGATGTCTCCTCTCTTGACCTCATACTTTCCGATCAGCTGATTTTCTTGTGTCGCCTCCTCGATCGTTCCTTTTCCACTGACCACAACGAGAATTGAAGCACAGTCCAAAGTAGGCATCAACATCTCTTTTGACGTATGATCCGTTCCCACTCGTATTCTGTGCAATTGGAAATCTTTACAGTCTGGTGCATACATATCAACACATGGTGTCAGTTTCATTTCCGGCACCAAATAATCCTTTTGTTCAGTCATTTTATAGTTGAGTACGGAGCAAAGGGCATCTCTATCGATATATTTTGGAGTCATTGCCGCGCGAATCGTATTGTTAGAGCATCCAACACATTCAACACATTCTCCACTCAAATAGGCATGAAGCTCTTCAGCAGCATAATAACAACATTGTCCTGGTTCGAGGATCATATGATTGAGGAAGAGAGGTGAGAAGATTCCAATATCATTTGGGAAATCTACGGACATTTTTCTAATCACTTCAACGGTTCCTTCTTCAATGGCTCCGCGAAGTCCATTGTCCAATTCCAAGAGAAGTTTGGATACCAAGTTCTGAAAACTAATCAAGATACATTTCTTTATTTTTTGGAAAAAGGTACTGGTTCAAAAAACACTTTTCGCTTTCGCAAAGTAAGTAATGTTTTGACTTGATCACTTATCTACATCAAAAAAACTGTTTTTATCTTTGAAGACTAGATGTTCAGAAACAAGAACATTGAACTTTGTTGCAAAGAAAACTTACATGTACATCAGATCTATCTGGATCCATCATGAATCTGAAACAGTTCTCCAAACATTTTCTAGACTCCTGATTGACCACGCCCATTTTCTTCTCCTCGAGAATCGAATCTTCTAGGGGTTTCGCGTAAGTATCTCCTCCGAAAAGTAACCGGAACGATGGGAATGCTGGAATTAGAAAAAAAAACATAGAAACTACGAAATGTGAACACTTACTTTGAAGATTTTTCAAAATTTCTCTAGCTGGTCTAAATCCACACAAAAGTTCGAATCGGGTCAAAGCATATGCTAGCTCTGGCTTATGGTTTCTGTCTGGATAATTGATTGGGTCCAGTTCATGTAATCTGCGAGCCTGCTCCTAAAAAATTGAAAATATGATGTTTTTAATTTTTTTTTTAAATCGTACTTTGGTTGGATGGACTTGTAGTGAGAGTGTGGTTCGAATCGACATAACTTTCATGATAAATGGCAAATGAATGTTCTTTGCCGAATTGTTGTTCGTCAAAAGGGATGGGTGCTTAGCCAAATACGTCGAAAGTCTCGTTGAGCACTTTTTCAATTGAGCAGGTCCATCCGGGTGGGTTCCCATCCAGAGCTGAAAACATTGTATTGAAAAGAGTTGATGTTTGTACTTTAGCGTTCAAAATTGCGAACAATCTTTCAAGGTCGGTTCAAGAAACCAATTCTAAGAAATCAGGTTCTTGATTCTGCAACAAAGATCAGAAAAGATTAAGATCACAAATAGTTTGCACTTTTAAATTCTTTTTTTGGTTTGCATGATTTTCTGACGCCCTGCTGAGGACGACAAATTGTTATTATGAGGGTAGAAAAATGTTTGTGTTTCCAAAATATGTGATGATGATCAGTTTTTTTTGAAAACCCCGTATGATATTGGAAATTAACTGAAGGCGTATTTTATGGTTTTATAAAGTAATTGTTGTGTGGGAAGGAATGAAAATGTTCATGTAGAGTGGAAAGAGTTAAATTCACAAAAAATGGCCATAGAGCTGAAAATTAGGACCTGGTTTATTTATTACCATCACACAACCTTTGATAAAAGGGTCCATACGTTGCCAAGTTTGAGCTCAAGTATCTCAACTGCTAAGCAAGATATCGAAAATGTGTCAACTGACAAAAACTTTTTTATCTTTGACAGGAATCGTGATAATTCGGCTCAAAGTTAAATGTTAGTAGACCCTTCTATTACAGGTTTTACGGAGAATCATAATATTTAGTGCCTGAACCGTAAAACCCTTTTCCAAGATTTTTTCATGTTTGAGAATGAATTCTTGACAACTCAAAACTCCAATAACTATTGAAACTTGTATTATACTTTTCTCGAAAAGATTCAAAATTTCAAGAGTCTTTTCTTGCATTCAAAATTTCAAGAGTTTTTTCTTGCATGCTTTCCTACATATTGGAAAACTAACTTTTTCCAGAAAGCGAAGTTTACAGTAATGCTAATCTTGTTTAGCTTAAAATATTAGGAACTGAGATTAGCAAATAGTTCATCTCGTAACAGCTGGGATTCAGTCAGCTGTTTTTCTGCCGAACATTAAGTTCAAGCTATCTTTTATCTTACCTCTGCATACGGTGTGTTATTATCAATTTGAAAATTGTCATGTCCATCTGCAAAAAGTCGTGCCACTTCACTCTCCTCACCATACTTTCCCCAAGCATACTGTTTGACGTGGCACTGCAGTTGCTCCATCTTCTCTCGTGACACAGTATAGGAAACCCAAGCTTTCGCGCTCTCTCTGGAAACCAATTAGTTATATCACAAAATGAAAGTATCGAGTAGATCAAAACTGTAGACGATAGAAGGCGAGAGAAGGATGACACGCTGTGCTGGGGGTGAAAACACCGGACGGGATGAAGTGGGTCAGCGAAGCGGAGATAGATGATGGGTAGCACTTGTAACGAACGATAGAGAAATCGATGGGGCTTTGAATTTGAAGAATTTTTGAAAAATTTGGGGGAAGAACTTGGAGTTTAAGAAATAGAGAGATAGAGAGAGGTAAAGATGATAATATGAAAACGAAGGATGGAAGAAGTTGGGGGTGGTCAGAAAAGGGGAGGAGAAAAAGAACACTTTCAGGTTGTTGCTTTGATAGCGGATACCCTTTGGCCTTCAGAATCTAGAAAAACCGTTTCGCAACAAGAGAAAAGAAGAAGACGAAAAGAGAAGGGAGGGATCACATGAGAAGAGGATGATGAAAAAGAAAAAAGTGCATCGGTATCACCGTATCATATCAGAGAATGCAAACTGTCAGAGGGGTTAGGGGTTTAGATGAGGTTCTTGATGTTACATGATCTTTAGCTCGGGTCTTCTTTTCTCCGATAATTACTGTTAACGATGTTCATGAGTCTCGACGTCTTCATTGCTTTTTTCATCATTCTCTCTTGTGTTCTTTTGTGTCTTCAAACAATACCTGGTTGGAAAAATGAGCGTCTTCTTATTGCCATCCATCTCGAGGGGTAAACCTGTTCGTCCCCTGCAGTCCGAATAAGTGTGTAATAGTGCACGAAGAAGACAACAAAAAGAAAATGCGAAAAAGAGATGGGGGACCAGCATGGTCTTCTTCTCGATGACGATGTCTTCATTGAAAAACGAAGACGTCTTCAAGGAACTGGGAAGAGTCGAGAAAAGAGAAAAGATTGATGTGCGCCTCCGCGCGCCCTCTCACTGATGACGGAGAGGACTGTATTGGTTGTATCTATGCGGGCGTTAGGCCCCCTCTGATTTTTATCAACACACGGACATCGTCGGTTTTCTCCTTCTCCTTCTTCATCTCCAATCGGTCGGTCTCGGCAAGGTCATCAAGAAAACGGGCGTTTAGTATTCTCCGAAGCTCCACCCTCTCTACATTCACTCATCCGACGATTCTCGGCCGGAGGATCGGACTGTCACCGAAATGAAAGGGATATGCATCTAGGTATGTAGTACATGTTGACCTACATCCATTTTGAATGACGGAGTTAGCAAACTTTTTGGAAACAATTTTTGGAAGAAAAAATGTTGCGTTTTTATGTTCTAAGCACATTCCGAAACGTAAATCTAGACGGGATGGCTATCTAAATTACGGAGATGTACAAATGATATGTACATAAGACACTTTTTCCAGATGTTGCCATCGAAATCCAGATTAGCCAGTTTCGTTTGAAGCATCTGATTACGGTTGATTTTTTCATTACAAATGGAGAATTTGTCTGACTCATAGTCAGACAATAATCAAAGCTTGTTGATCTTTGAACTTGGGTGAAAATTTAAAAAATGTGAATTCATTCATGTCTCAGATGACGTCAACATGCCACCTCATATGACAGAAGCAAATTGGACGAAGAGCGAAACACAAACAAAGTGAAATTGAGAAAAAACCTCTGTCGCTCTTGAAATCGAAAAAAAATAAGTTCGATCATTTTCAGGGGAATACTGCAACAATAGAGCGCCACCCAAACCGGTAACTTTGAGCTCATATATCTTATTTCCTGTGGAAGGTATCAAAATGTTATTAACTGATAAAATGGTTATCATAATTAAAAAAAAATTTTATCAGTTAACCACTTTTTGATGTCTTGTTAAGGAAGCGAAATAAATGGGCTCAAAGATGAACGTTCCAGTGACACTGTGTGAGAGTGTTTACGGTATTCAAAAGCAAAGTTCAGACGTCCTCTGAAGGGGGTTTCTCTCTCATTCTGATATCGAAACAAGTTGATCTTTCCGAAAGATCTTCAAAGAAAACACACAGAGAATGATAAGGATCTCTTATTTTCGGTTTTGTCCTCAGTGGAGATTCTTTCGGGAGTTTGATCCTGTTTACTTTTCAGACAGAGGCACGTGATGCAAATTCAAGATTCTAGAGGGCATCGTTCAAACGGTTCAATTCTTTGATTGTTGTGAATAAATTGATCCGGATCAAGGGTTTTGGTTTCGTATTATGATAAGTGTGTGGATAAGAATACCGTATTTTCAATATGTTAACTTTGAGCTCAATTATATCGATTACTGTGAAAGATATCAAAATTTTTTCAATTGATAAAATGTTGGTGACACTATGATAAATAATTTATCAATTGTCAAAGGTTTGATATCTTTCACAGGAATCAAGTTAATTGAGCTCAAAGTTGAGGGCTTGGAGTTAGAAGAAATACGGTAACCAAATCTCTACAGTAACGTGCTGGTCGTATTTCCACTAGATTCAGAATTCTTACATCATAACATCTCAGATTTTGGCTACATGATTCAAGTCACAGATTTCAATTTCCTTCCTAACTACAGTATTCCTCCCCTCGCATACCGTAAAACCTATTATAGAAGGGCCCCCACACTGTCAAGTTTGAGCTCAATTATCTTAATCCGGGTAAAATATATCAGACATGTATCAACTGATAAAATATATGACATTATGATAAACAATTCAGCAGTTCACAATTGTTCAATATCTTTGACAAGGAACGAGATAAATTAGCTGAAAGTTTAAACCTATGGGGTCCTTCGATTACAAGATTTATGTTAACTCCAGAAGCGTAACAGCACAATAACGAAAATTAAATTTCAAAAGTGGATCGAATTTTGAAAATTGAATCAGATGTCTTTATCAATTTGAAAATTCCAAAAAAATTATCGGAACTGCAGTAATCCTTTATCCCCGAACATTTTTTGATCTGAACCCGAATATTCTTGCAACACCCGATATGCCTGATCGCGCAGTTATCTTCTCATTTAACGCTACGAAACGACGGTCACTATATTTTGTTTTTCATTTCCAATCATCTTTTTCACTTTTCATCGGTCGAGCGACCGATGCCATTGCCACCGAACAAAAAAAATTAATTCGCTGTAAATTGCCTTCTCTCTCAACTTTTTTCTCAAGTTATGACGATAATGTTTGGTTGATAGACGGCATGAATTTATTTGATTTTAATTTGATTCCAGTCCTTCGGAATCTCTAGACAAAAAATACACACAAACAAACAAGTCACTAGCTACATACAGAAAAAGAAATAAAATGGTGACACTATCTACAATTCAAACTGAATGTCAGTTTTAGGGAGGGCACCACGAATCTTCTGTTCCACTTTCTCCTTGCCATGGACGCTCTTCAAATTTCGAAGAACAAGTTTGTCGAGGGCAGTGAACTTCTTAAGATGCTCCAATCCAAATTCGGTGATTCGACGACATTCTTCGATGTGAAGAGTTTTGAGATGACCTCCTACATGTTGTCCCATGTATTCCAGTCCGAAATCGTGAAGATTTTTACAACGGATGAAATAGACATTCTTGATGGCAGAGAGGTTTTCTGCAAACTAATTTCCTTTAGATTTTGGTCACTTGGGTCAAGATAATCGGATGATTGGTTTGGGTAATTTTTGTTTCAGACAGTTTGTGTTGTAACGAACTTCCGGACTGCGAAACTGGAATGATCGGTTTAGAAAAATTCGAAATTAGGTACTTAGTCTGAATATGTACTGAAGACCGATTTCTGAGAAGTAATGTTCTGGCTTGTGATCGCTCTAAGTAGTTTGTAAAGTTAAAGATTATCAGGGATGTTCGGAACAGAGTAGTAATTCTGAAAATTCCAACCGGAATTAGTTTTTCGGACTACGGTATGTCAAAGGCGCACGCAAAAAGTTCCCTTGTAGGTTTCGAGCGGAATTAGTTTTTTAAATTTTTTCCGCGTTTTTGAAATGTTTTTGTCAACTTTTCAGCCATTTTTCGCAAATTTTTGATTCAAAAAAAATTTGCAACTCGGAATTTTCGACATTCCGCAAACTGCCGAAAATGCTATTCCGAACATTCCTGAACTAAAAATGACTATATGGGAAATTCACTGTGTTTGTATATTTATTCCGGTCTTGTTTTATAAATTAATTACCAAAATGACGACATCCGAATCCTGTAACACTCGCGTCAATCGCCTCGATAGTCTCCAATGACACATTATCTTCTGGAAGCCTTGGATCCAACTGAGCCGTTCTTTTCACCAAACAATTATAATCTCCGAAGCTCTCGTCGATCTGTGCGAACTTGATCTTTCCTCCACACCGAACAACCCATTCGGCTGCAGCCCGATCCGCTCCCACTTCTTTCACACGCTGAGTGTCATAGCTGCAAAGGATGCCCTATGTGTGAAGGTGATCTGGTTTTACGGTTCTTTGAAAGACGCGATGTCAATGAAGTGCACTCGTTTATACATTTTTGTGGGTGTGTGATAAAGAAAACAACAAACCAGCGATTGCACTTCTGCTAATCTAAAAACGAACTCTTGCAGGAATATAAGGGAAGCGAGGTCACATGATGCATGACTCAAATGACCGAAAACTACCGTATACCGTCTTTTTCACTTTCTTAAAGTTACTCTGTGATCAACGACTTTGAACCGATTGGTCGAGATCTCCCACTACTCACTAATTGAATCCTTCGAGAACCCATCTGAGTCCTGGAATATTGTGTTGTCCTAATGCGAGGACAAACTTCTCTTGCATTTTCCGCATGCTCATCTGAATTTCAAAAAAAATGTACTGGATAAAACGCAGTTCCAAAAAAAAAAGAAAAATAATCATCCCAAAATGTTAGGGAATAATTTTTTTCAGAAGCAATATGGGGAAAATAAGAATATTCATTTCATATGAGTATCCGAGTCTATAGATTTAGAGATCATAAATATGGAAAATAATCATGGTTTTTCCATTCAATCCATATATGGTTTTGGAGACCACTCCTTCTCGTGATTCGCTATACCATCTGGATTAGAATTCAAACGAGGAACGTCGTGACGGAGCATGAATTCCCGAACTTTCCAGCGCAGTGACAGACGACGCATTTCTCCTGGAGCCGGATGTCGATCCCATTCAGTTCTACAAAGAATTTAATTATTACCATCTTTTTAGACGAAATATATCTCACTTGTAGAGATGGTACCTAGTAACAGGATCAAACTTGTATGGTACTCTTCCAGGCTTCGGAGACCGAACAGGACGAACACTAGGATCTATGATAAGCTCTCTTGGTTTCTGAACTTCGGATGGATCTGATTCAGTGCTTCTCCCAACTGAAATTGATTCTGCGATGTCCTCTTCGCCCTCCACTTCATCTTCATCGTGCATTTCTTGCTCGCCGGATGTAATTTCATCCTCCTGGAATACAAATATAATCGAACCTTTAAAAGAATACTAACACCAACTTCTTCGTCAGCTACATCTGGAGCTGTAGAATTCAGTTTTTCAGGATCAGTATCAACATTTTCAGACTTTTTGAAAGGTATCCAGTTAAGTTTATTGAAAATTGACTTGATAGAAGACTTAATATTGGAGAGCATTTTTCAAAAAACCACACAAACCTCCTCACTTGGAGCTCGACACCTCTCATATGCTCGATGAATGCTTCGCCACGCTTGATCGATCAGCGACTTGGCTTCGATATTTTCTCGAAGGCTTTCATCTCCAAAATCGTTTTGGAACTCAACGTTTTCGTAGACACACTTCTTTCCTGCTCTTCCTGGAAAAAGAAAAATGGACAAAATAAAACAAAAAACAAAAGTTTCGTTTCAGAAACCAAAATGGAAACAAAAAATTCAATGAGGTCGTTCAGTACGGCGTCAAAGCTTACAGGTACTGTACTTACTTCTAGAAACGATTGGAGATTGGATGGATGCTCTCTCATCAGAGAAATCTCGTTGTCTTTGAAGGAATTGGGCAGCTGGATCGATTGAAAGTGAAGCAAAAAGAGACTCATTGAGTGGATTCTCATCTTCTTCCGAAACACATGATTCTTCGTTCAAATATCTGTTGATTTCTGAGAAGAACAAATTTATGTCATGTTTTATTTGCAATAAATTCTTACCATTTTTCAACTGTGCCAATTGAGCTGTACTTCGAATGTTCTGACCCATTTGGTGGACAATATCCTCGAGCTCTTTTTCATTCGTGAAGTTTGCCATTTTGACTAGATGAAGAAGCTCGATGAAGCGTGATCCGGAAGTTGGTGACTACCCATAAAACTTTTGAGATAAATACTTGGTTGAACAGTTTTCAGCTGATCAATCACCAGTTTTTTGATAAAAATAAACAAAAAAACCCTGTAAACAAGACGGCAAAAACGCCCCAGTGTTGTTGGAATTGAAGAGCGAATTCAAATTCTGAGATTGGCGAAAAAAGTCAGCTGCGTGCGGGGGCTTTGCGGAAAGTGCGCGCCCAGCTTGCCATTTTTCGCTCCGCCCCTTTTATTCCAAGACGTTTTTCGATGTTTTGCTTCTAAAAAGTAGAAAAAGGTTTGTGTAGAATTCTAGGTAGAAGAAGAAAATAAAAAATAATTTTATTCAGAAATGAGTGATAATCATGCCTTCGGGCGACCGGCTGTAGACGATGGACGAGGAGTTGTCGAGACGATGCGAATGGAAGCTACCACAATGTCGAACAATTTTAACGCTGTAAATGATAGTAATAATTCTAAATCGATTCAAAAATATCTGAATCAAGTTTGTATATTTTTCAGGCATCAAATCAGACGTCCATCATCTTGAAGATCTGTCCCAATGTTTTGCAGACATTTTCCGTTCGTCTGATCACTCCGATGTCACTCTTGTTCTCGATGATGGAGCTGAGTTTCCCGCTCATAGATTGATCCTTGCCGCTCGGAGCAGCTTTTTTCGAGCAATGATGTACAACGGATTTAAAGAGAGCCACGAACAACGCGTTTCTCTACATGAAACAAACTCAGTCGCCTTTCGAGCAGTTCTTCAGTACATGTACACTTCAAAAATTGATTTCGCTGGAGTTGAGCTAGATGTCCTTCTTGAATATTTGAGTCTTGCCCATCGGTATGAATTGAGGCAACTGATGACGGCGATAAGTGAGTATTTCAAGGAGATTTTGAAGAATGAGAACCTCTGCAGCATTTTGAATGCTGCCTACTTTTTTCAATTTTCGGATCTAATTGATTACTGTATGCAGTACTCGGATAAACATGCTGATCAACTCTTAGACGATCCGAGTTTTAATAGGCTCTCAGGAGACAGTTTGAAAGAACTTCTAGCAAGAGATTCGTTCTATGCTAATGAGCTGAAAATCTTCAACGCTGTTTGTTCATGGTACGCTACGAATTCAAACATGAAAGCTGTATCAAAAGAATTACTGGATCTTGTCAGACTTCCTTTGATTTCTCAAACCGAGCTTCTCAACTTCGTGAGGCCGTCTGGATTGGTTGATGCTGATGATTTATTGGATGCGATAGAGATCCAAACTCAAAAACCATTTGAAGCACCATACAGAGGATGCAAAAGTGAGTTATATATTTTTGGTGAAACAATTTTCTGACTATTTCCAGGCATCGACACAAATATAATACCACAGTATCCAATAGTGCAACCCTTATCTCGAGAAGTTAGTTGTCGATTTACGAACCAAGAGAATATGAGTGTATTTCATTTGGATCTTGGAAAACCTTTCATTATCAACACGATTATTCTTGAACTGAACTGGAAAGTTGATGTACAAGGATTCTCCTATCAGATTCACGTCGGGATGGAAAATCGGTCGGATGGCCACTGGAAGCTAGTAGCTGATTACTCAAAATACGACTGCCGAGGTACTCAGCGAGTCTTCTTAGAAGATTCTGTGGTCAGGTACATCTTAATACGAGTTAGCGACCCAATGTCCTGTCGAATAGATGGCAGTCGTATTGAAGCAATGTACTCGTCGGAGACGATGCCAGTGGATCCTCACACAAAAATAATTGGTAATTAATTTTTGACTACTGTGGTTCTTAAAATTGTGGTTTTTTTTCCAGCTCCACATAGTAATATCACAACTATTGAAAACCATGCACGGGTGGTCGAAGGAGTTTCTCGCTGCCGAAATGCACTTATCAATGGAGACATTACATCTTACGACTGGGACTCGGGATATACGTGTCATCAAATTGGAAGCGGTGTCATTATGGTACAACTCGCCCAACCCTATATCATCTCTTCGATGCGAATACTTTTGTGGAACTGTGACGATCGATTCTATTCGTATTATGTCGCAGTGTCAACGAACCAAGACAGTTGGGTCACAATTATTGATCGTACGAATGAAGAGTGCCGCGGATGGCAAGAACTTTTATTCGATCCTCTCCCTGTTGTCTACATTCGTGTCGTGGGAACAAGAAATTCAATCAACGAAGTCTTCCATGTTGTACATCTAGAAGCCCCTTCAAATGTTCCAATCGCCATAAAGTAATTATTACGGGTTACAATTCTTCCTTTGTGTCGTATTATCTGAATTTGTAATAAAGCTTGCATATATGTAAATATCTCTTTGCAACAAATGAATGAGATCAGTGATAGAACCTGAAAATTGATATTTGGCAAAATCATCAAACTTTGAAGGAATTAATATTATTTCGTAACGGATTTCAGTTATATACATAAAATGGCAAAACGGGAACTCCGACGGAGTCTAAAGTCGGAAATAGATAATCTCTTCGCATCACCGGAAACTGCAGAAAACGAATTTCAACGTAAGAGCCTTTCGGAAGATTAATATTAACAACTTTGAAAATTTCAGAAGCCACAAAACGTCAGAAAAGAGATGACAGTGAATCTAGTAGTACACCAAAAAGCAGTGGAAGTTCGCAACCTTTTGATCCGAACAGACCGAGAGTGACACTTCATTTGAATCGATTAGGAAACAGTTTTAGAATAGATTGTGAAAGTTAGCATTTGCAGTTTTTGTTTTTATTTAGTACATATAATTTTCAGCTCTTGCCCATTTCATTCACTATACTCTTTTTGGAAATTCGCTAATGAAACCCCGATGGACAGCCATTGCCAATCATCGCAACATCCCTCAAACTCTTGTGATTCGGATAAATGTACAGGAGGATTTTTTTGTAAGTTTCTAAAACTTCATTTTGAAAAAAAATGAAATATTTCAGATGACAACTAACCTAAAATTTCTGAACGATTTTTTCGAAAGACGATGGATTGAACTGGATTCCGAGATAAGCGATCGTAGTCTGTTCTGGAATAGTATGATGAACGTTCGGTTGACACTGCAAGAACAGGTTCGGAGAAAGTCTGAGAAGATGCAGAAGACGTTTGACATTCTCGGAAAACATGACAAGTCGAATTTCATTCTGACTACTGCACAACTCGCTGATAGAGGTTTTCCGTTTCCTGGAGAAGAAGGCATTGTGCCGACGAAGCGCAGGTGGGTTGCTCAACTTCAGAAGCATTTATTCAAAGCAAAATAGGCTTTCAGATACAAAAAACTGTCACCGTCCTCTCCATTGTTCTCCGTGGACTGTGAGATGTGCGAAACTACAACTGCAAATCGAGCTCTGACTAGAATTTCCATCGTCGACGAAGAACAGAATACGATCCTGGATACTCTCGTAAAACCTGATGGAGATATCACTGATTATGTCACTCGATATTCTGGAATAACCGAAAAAATGATGGAGGGTGTGACGACGACGTTAGCAGATGTACAGAAGGCAGTACAGAATTTGTTGCCTC